CTTTGCTTTTGCCATATTTGTGATGTAGTATCAAGTATTACATATATATATATATACGTATATATAACGTAGCTTGAAGTTGTATTAGAAGCACAAGAGAAGTTATCATATGATGACGTAGCACCAACTCTAAAGAAGTACTTGTGAAGTGGCATCAAGTAATTTCAATAACATAGCGTGAAGTTGTAGTAGAATATAGTAGAATTACAAGAGAAGTTCTTGTGACATAGCATCACGATATATATATAATTATCTATATGTACATGAAGTAGCTTTGAGTTGTATCACAAGTACAAGAGAAGTTATCATGACGTACCATCAACTCTAGAGAAGTTCTTGTGACGTAGCATCAAGTAATTGATATAAAGTAGCCTGCAGAAGATGTGAAACTGCTGGAAAACTTCTTAGAACATAGCAACAAGAAGTATATAACGTAGCGTGTAGAAGGTGTGGAAGTGCTAGAGAAGTTCTTAAGATGTTGCAAGAAGAAAAGTATATGACGTAACATCAAGTAGGTGTGCAAGTGCAAGGACATTATTGCCCCGAACCAACCCCACCCAACCAACCCACCCCAAGCGTATGACCTGTCAACAGGAAAAGTATGTAAAGTAGCGTGCAGAGGATGTGCAAGTGCAATAGAGAAGTTCTTATGACCCAACAGCAAGTAGGTGGGCAAGTGCAAGGACGTTATTGCCCCAACCCACCCCACCCAACCAACCCCACCCCAACATGAAGCAATTAGAAAAAGAAAAACAAGGCAGTGGAGTCAGTGGAGTAAAATGTACAGGAACGCACGGCCCTTGACAGGCGCCGCCACCAAAAACAAGCCTAAATGGCAATCACAAAGCACTTTTGCGCAGGTTCGTGTGAGCTCCATTACGCAAACTGGACAAGACAATGGCATAATGGCACCTATGACACCACTGGTTCGTATATGGTAACCCCCAGACTAAAGGACTTCAGCATGTTCAACGCAGGCATGAAACAAATGATTGCAACAATTATATACTGTTTGAAAATTCACAAAAACTTCCTGGACACATCCCTTGAGTTGCCATGGTTTATGCATTCCAGGCAACTGAATACAAGCTGCATGACGAAGACCTTGTGAGACACAAGTATGAAAGTTGTCGCAGCAACCAGGAAGATCAGGCGAAACTCTGTGCAATGGCGATTTCTCGAATCTGAGATCTGCTGTAAGTCGCTCTTTTTTGCATGCACCTGCAAAAATTGATTTGTCACTGTAAAGAGATTTTAAAGATCCAGAAAGATCCAGGCATGATCAGCAGAGTAGAGCAATTCCATCAAGTACCTTCACAAATCGTATGACAACGGATCTTCGCGCATGCGAGTGCTGCAAGGTTTGTCCATGTACATGTGATGTGTGGAAGGCTCAGCACCCGAAGAGCCATGTAGTTCCGGCGGCTGCCCCAGCGCATCCCCATCCCTGCCATATCGGTTGTGCAAAGATTGTGTTGTCTTCAACTTCCTTCTTGTGGACAACCTTTCTCTATTTCTCGCAATTCTGATCCTTCTTGTCTTCCAGTGGCTATCAGTGCCAAACACCCCTGTCTGTCCCCACCGTCTGAGGGATCCTTCTCAGCTTGCCTGTTCTTGTTGCCTTGTCCTGCCCCTCCTCGTCTTCCTTGGAATTTCTTCCTGGTTTCTTCTTTTGCGTTGTGTATCTCACATCTTATTCATCTTACGACCTATGATTTATAAAGGAACATCAAAACCAAGGAGAACGAACTCCTGAAGGCAGCTTCTCTCCAGGAGTGGCAGCCTAAGACTAACGTGTCTGTTTCATTGATATATGTCCTTCACTTTCGTTGCTCACGCCTTAGGCTCAACGCACCAGCATTAAAAGAAAAAAGATTCGGATTCAGGGTTCTTACATGTTGATACGGATGCTGGACCTCAGCATCCAGAACTACAAATTGAGTGAACAGTCTTGGATCTTTACACTTTGGGAATCAAGTTCATGATTCGGGTTTCAGATGGTGTCAGGGTTTTCGTGTTGAGGATTTGACACTTATGGACGAAGCAAATCCCCGGGGTTCCTCGTGGTCGCTTCATGTTTGCAGCCACCAACAAAGGAAATTTAGACTTCAGCCAGAGTAAAAAGGCCTCATGGAAAGAAATTGGTACTTGCTGGATCTTGTACGACCTTGTTGGTTGTGCTGAGATGTGCTGAGATGTGCTGAGATGTGCTGAGATGTGCTGAGGTGTGCTGAGGTGTGCTGAGGTGTGCTGAGGTGTGCTGAGGTGTGCTGAGATGTGCTGAGATGTGCTGAGATGTGATGAGATGTGCTGAGATGTGCTGAGATGTGCTGAGATGTGCTGAGATGTGCTGAGATGTGCTGAGATGTGCTGGGATGTGCTGAGATGTGCTGAGATGTGCTGAGATGTGCTGAGATGTGCTGAGATGTGCTGAGATGTGCTGAGATGTGCTGATGTGCTGAGGTGTGCTGAGATGTGCTGAGGTGTGCTGAGTGTGCTGAGGTGTGCTGAGGTGTGCTGAGGTGTGCTGAGATGCGCTGAGATGCGCTGAGATGTGCTGAGATGTGCTGAGATGTGCTGAGATGTGCTGAGATGTGCTGAGATGTGCTGAGATGTGCTGAGATGTGCTGAGATGTGCTGAGGTGTGCGGAGGTGTGCTGAGATGTGCTGAGGTGTGCTGAGGTGTGCTGAGATGTGCTGGGATGTGATGAGATGTGCTGAGATGTGCTGAGATGTGCTGACATGTGCTGAGACGTGCTGAGACGTGCTGAGACGTGCTGAGATGTGCTGAGGTGTGCTGAGATGTGCTGAGATGTGCTGAGATGTGCTGGGATGTGCTGGGATGTGCTGGGATGTGCTGAGATGTGCTGAGATGTGCTGAGATGTGCTGAGATGTGCTGAGATGTGCTGAGATGTGCTGAGATGTGCTGAGGTGTGCGGAGATGTGCTGAGATGTGCTGAGGTGTGCTGAGATGTGCTAAGCTGTGCTGAGGTGTGCTGAGGTGTGCTGAGGTGTGCTGAGGTGTGCTGAGGTGTGCTGAGGTGTGCTGAGGTGTGCTGAGGTGTGCTGAGATGTGCCTGACTGTGCTGAGATGTCGAGATGTGCTGAGATGTGCTGAGAATGTGCTGAGATGTGCTGAATTGCTGAGATGGCTGAGATGTGCTGAGAATTTGCTGAGGTGTGCTGAGATGTGCTGAGATGTGCTGAGATGTGCTGAGATGTGCTGAGATGTGCTGAGATGTGCTGAGATGTGCTGAGACGTGCTGAGATGTGCTGAGATGTGCTGAGATGTGCTGAGGTGTGCTGAGATGTGCTGAGGTGTGCTGAGGTGTGCGGAGGTGTGCTGAGATGTGCTGAGATGTGCTGAGATGTGCTGAGATGTGCTGAGATGTGCTGAGATGTGCTGAGATGTGCTGAGATGTGCTGAGATGTGCTGAGATGTGCTGAGATGTGCTGAGATGTGCTGAGATGTGCTGAGATGTGCTGAGATGTGCTGAGATGTGCTGGGATGTGATGAGATGTGCTGAGATGTGCTGAGATGTGCTGAGATGTGCTGGGATGTGCTGAGATGTGCTGAGATGTGCTGAGATGTGCTGAGATGTGCTGAGATGTGCTGAGATGTGCTGAGATGTGATGAGATGTGATGAGATGTGATGAGATGTGCTGAGCTGTGCTGAGATGTGCTGGGAGATGTGCTGAGATGTGCTGAGATGTGCTGAGATGTGCTGAGATGTGCTGAGATGTGATGAGATGTGATGAGATGTGCTGAGATGTGCTGAGATGTGCTGAGATGTGCTGAGATGTGCTGAGATGTGCTGAGATGTGCTGAGATGTGCTGAGATGTGCTGAGATGTGCTGAGATGTGCTGAGATGTGCTGAGATGTGCTGAGATGTGCTGAGATGTGCTGAGATGTGCTGAGATGTGCTGAGATGTGCTGGGATGTGATGAGATGTGCTGAGATGTGCTGAGATGTGCTGAGATGTGCTGGGATGTGCTGAGATGTGCTGAGATGTGCTGAGATGTGCTGAGATGTGCTGAGATGTGCTGAGATGTGCTGAGATGTGATGAGATGTGATGAGATGTGATGAGATGTGCTGAGCTGTGCTGAGGTGGAGGTGTGCTGAGGTGTGCTGAGATGTGCTGAGATGTGCTGAGATGTGCTGAGATGTGCTGAGATGTGCTGAGATGTGCTGAGGTGTGCGGAGGTGTGCTGAGGTGTGCTGAGATGTGCTGAGATGTGCTGAGGTGTGCCGAGGTGTGCTGAGGTGTGCTGAGATGTGCTGAGATGTGCTGAGCTGTGCTGAGATGTGCTGAGCTGTGCTGAGATGTGCTGAGATGTGCTGAGATGTGCTGAGATGTGATGAGATGTGCTGAGATGTGCTGAGATGTGCTGAGATGTGCTGAGATGTGCTGAGATGTGCTGAGATGTGCTGAGATACGGGTTGGCCAGCGTTTCGGCCACCAGGCCATAGCTAGTGCTTTCACTCTCAACACAGTTTGGGATATGGACGGCCTCCACGCAACACGCGAGAGTCACCGCGAGCCAAATTAAAAGCACGCAGACCTTGGCATCATTTCAACACGAAACTGATCTGGCTGTTGACAAAATATGACAAGATATCACAAGATATTGACAACATATGGCAAGCTATGGCAAGATATGGCGACATATGGCAAACTACTGCAAACTGTCCACAATGTTCAGTCCACCTTCAAGTCATGTTTTTCCGACCTTTCAGCACCTTTAGCGGATCTTCTTTGCAAATTGTGACTCAGAAGAATTCTTAGCAATAAATCAAAGGAAGCATAGCTGCTGAGAAGTGAAACGTGCGAACGTCTTGACTCTGGCAAGTTTTGCAGCAGCAAGGCATCCTTGGTGCCAATTGAATGCCTAGTAATCTTGGTGGAAGTGAAAGTGTTTGTGTCAATCAATGCTGCTAAAGGTATTAGAAGTGTACAAGCACAAAAAGACGGCAACGATGCAGTAGCTTCCACTTTTTGCGCCTCACCAAGCTAAGTGCACTTTAAGCACGTGTTTTTCCATTCATGAGGTGTTCAGCCGCCGGGCATCATGGGCTGGTTCGCAATGCTCAGACCTTGGCGAATGCAAAGTGAATGATACAGAATGATACATATATATATAATATCATATGATATACATTGACTGACTGGCTGACTGACTGACTGGTTCATTGACTGCTGACTGACTGATTGATTGATTGATTGATTGAATGATTGATTGATTGATTGACTGAATGATTGATTTATTGATTGATTGACAAACATAACTATACAGAGGGTGCAATTTTTTGGGGGAATCTCTTTTTGTTTTTATTATTTTGTTTTTTTCTGTTTTTTCAGTCTCGGGCACCTGTCCTTGCTATTTGCTACATTTTGGAACAAAAACATGTACTTTGCTGAATTTTGGAGCTAAAATCTGCCATCTGCACTGTTCATCGATTTTTCCATGGTTTTACTTGTTTTTTCCATGGTGTTCATTAAAATACCCAAAGTGTTCATCGATTTTTCGATAGTGTTCATTGAGTTTTCCATGGTTTCAATTGATTTTTCCATGGTTTCAATCAATTTTTACATGCATAAAATGCACCTGGTGAACATGTAGAATATAGGTTGAAGCACAACCGTGTTGGGTCAAAATGGTGGCATTGGATGCTACTGTATCATAGTGTTGGTTGGTTTAGGGTTTATTTAGGGTTGGTTTAGGGTCATTTATGATTGGTTTAGGGTTGGTTTAGGCTTTATTTAGGGTTGGTTTAGGGTTGATTTAGGGTTGGTTTAGGGTTTATTTAGGGTTATTTAGGATTGGCTTAGATTTATTTAGGATTGGTTTATAATTAATAGGGTTTATTTAGGGTTGGTTTATGGTTGGTTTACGGTCATTTAGGTTTGGTTTAGGGTTGGTTTAGGGGTTTATTTAGGGTTGGCTTAGGGTGGACTAGGGTTGGTTTAAGGTCATTGAGGGTTGGTTTAGGGTTTATTCATTGTTATTTAGGGTTGGTTTAGGGTTTATTTAGGGTTGGTTTAGGATTTATTTACGGTTGGTTTAGGGTTTATTTAGGGTTATTTAGGGTTGGCTTAGATTTATTTAGGGTTGGTTTAGGGTTTATTTAGGGTTGGTTTATGGCTGGTTTACGGTCATTTAGGTTTGGTTTAGGGTTGGTTTAGGGGTTTATTTAGGGTTGGTTTACGTAGAAAACCGAAACCCCAACACGACCACCAGGGAAGGGGGCACGAGCCGGACCGACAAAGAACGGAAGACCAACCTCCAACCAATGGGGCACCGCACGCGCACAAACAGCAGGTCCTTAAGCATTAGTTAAACTCAGTCACTGTCAACTTCGTGACTCCACTCTCGAAGCCTTTTACCACACATGCACACAAGCAGGGTGATCTGCTGAGTCTTCATGCAGCTCTTCTGTCTTGTTTGAACCCCATCTGTCTGGAGCCCAAAGAAAC